TCAGAACTAAAGCATCATTAATATTGATGGACGAGAATGAGCCTACATTTATAGAAACTGTCTCCTGTGTGTCAGTTTTGTTAAGTTGTTGTTAAGTGCAGCAGAGTCAGTTATGACTCATGGTGACCCTGTATAGAGTTTCCAAGGAGTGACTGGTGAGTTTGAACCACAGGCCTTGCAGTTCAAACTGACCTTGCAATCTAGTATATTAACCCGCAGTGCCACAGGGTTAAATAGTCTACAGTTAGTCTCTCTAGACTGGTAAACTAGAGATGGTTCCTCTAAAGGTAACAACATTCATAAAAATTCTAGAAAAATCCTATAAGAAATCAAAAAAGTGGAGCTGAATGTTTTGCTTAAACTTCTAAAAATTATTCTATTTAATACTGATTAAATAATCCTCAGATTCATTAACCCATGAAATGGACTGACAAAACAAAGGGCTCAAAGATACCAACAGTCATGAGGACAATGTTTTGTTCTGTTACACATAGGGCTCCATGGCAGAGCCACTTGATGGGGACTAAAAGCAATGACGTATTGTTGGTGTTTTTAAATGCCGTTGAATCAGTTTCTACTCATAATGACTCTGTATAGTGTTTCCAAGGAGCAACTGGTAGGGTTGAGCTGCTGACATTGTGGTTTGCTGTCCAGTGCTGATCCTACAGCGCCATACCAGGAGTCCACCAGCTATGACGTTGTTGTTGTTGTTAGATGCCGTCGAGTCGGTACTGACTTATACATAGCAACCTTATGCACAGCAGAACGCAATGCAGCGTGATCCTGGGCCAACCTCACTATTGTTGCCACGCTTGAGTCCATTGATGCTGCCACTTGGTCAATCCATCTTGTTGGAGGTCTTCCACTTAATAATTTCCAAGTCATTTTTTAGTATTCTCTGTCATTTGTCCATTGCTCATCATACACATAATATATAATTAAGAAAGTCAGAACTACAAAAGGAATTTTTTGTTTTCAAGTGCCACTGAGTTAGTTTAAGCTCATGGTGACTCTGCATAGGGTTTCCCAAGGAGCAACTGATGGGTTTGAACTGCAGCTCTTGGGGTTAACCGTCCAATGTTTATATATATATATAACAGTTCAATTGTTTTATATATATATATATATAAAACAATCCAGGACTTATATATATATTTTCATAGATCAATTATACCACAATTTAAAGAAAGAGGGGAAATGGATAAGTACCAAAATGGTTTATGGTTTGGCACAACATTTCAGGACAAAATAATGTAGTATAAGTGATCTAAGTTATCTAATAACCATGGTCCTAGATGACTTGTTCATTAATTCATCCAGGAAATATTTACCTATTAAGTGATAAGTTCATTTATTTTTGTATCCACAGAACCAAACATAGGTTTGGGATTGTATTACATGCTTAGTGAATATTTCTGTATAGGTGTCTGGCATTCACTAACATAAATTATGAAAACCCATAATTCTATAATACAGTATTTTCACTATTAATCATCATAATTATTATAAGTCATGTTCTCTGTCATCAGAAATTTTATCTCTATTTGAAAATAATAGAAAGATGTAAATGAGAACAATTCAAAGTAAAAATGAGCTACAATAAATTGGGTAATCATCAAGAAGACACAATCATTCATCCAATGAAGTTTCTCACCACAGACTTTCTTTAAACAACCAGCTTTTATAATCAATTCTTAATTGAAGATTTCTGAAAACAACATGAATATACCGTGAAACTTTCAATAAAATAGTTGCTATATTGAGTGGTATTGGAAGCAAAAAGTTAGATGACTATGCAGAAATCAAATTACATCTTACACTTAATCTAAATGATCAAAAAATTAACGGTATATAACTAATTTAAGCTACAATATGTTAAATATATCATTCATTAAATCATTTATTTATTTTACTGAGCAATTGTATTCAAGTCACTAAACTAATTGCTCCTCACTTCATATCTGTATATTTCCCTCATCTCCTTAAAATATTGCAAATTCAATAGATATCATATGGCTTTGAGGTTAACAGAGGTAGCATTAATATTAATACAACCAAAAAACTTCATCTACAAAAGTAAGCCACCTGAATCAAAACCATTTTTCCAAGTCTTTTTTTAATAGTACAGTTAATCAAAATTCAGGGATGATTATATTTTCAAGTGAAATTGAATATGATCATGCTGAAAAACTGGTATAAGCCATGTAAAATATTCAGAATTTTATTTAAATTATATGCCAATCAGATATTTAAAGTTATACGACTAAAATGGCATTATACAGATCAGCAAGACTGAAGTACCTTTTAATGGATGCTATCAATTTTCCAGCTTATTGATTCACTCTATCAATTAAGATAGAAATAAGATTGATAGTTTGCTGATCTTGGAGACTATGATTTAGCTAGTTGACCTTGAACTTACTTTTGACTTGAATGTATAACCATAGTTTGTAACTTGGAGAAATAAAACCCATCACCTATAATGTCAACCAGAATAATATTAAGGCAGTTATATTCTTAAATCCAAATCAACCAATAATAATAATTCATAATTTTTTAGATACTTTTCTTTTAAATTTCTAATTGTGAAACTATTTGACTTTGAAAAACCAAGGCTGACTCCAAGTTACCTAAATAATTGTATAAAATAGCTTTGAATGTTCTCCAATCCATGTATTCTTATTAAGAACACTTTTGCTTCTGTCACTCACAGGCATTTGCAGTTTTCCTAAATGCTTCACTGACATTCTCACTTTCTTTTACCTTTCTATTTCTTTACTTTTCTAATTCCAAACTCCTCTTCCTCTTTTTCAATATGGGAGGAATGAGTTAGAGGCAAACTTCAGTAATAAAAGGAAAACCACGAGTTTTCTGTTAAATTTTAGTATGTGTTGAGAACATGAATGAAAAGTTACTGGTCTCCATAAACAGCTTGTTGGGGTCTAATGGCTAAAATAGTTCTTGTAGGCAATGAGAGATAGGAGGAAGAGGGAAAAAGTTTCATTTGGCCATATTTGGACAAAGACAGAGTCAAATAGGTGAAACAGGTGTGTGGAGGGCTGAACAATAGTAATTATGGTGAAAAGCCCAGTGAGACCAATGTCCACTTCCCAGTCAAGAACAGGCTCTAGGAGTAAGGAGGAGTTTTAAGATGCCAAGTCCAAGAAAAAGAGTGTGTACAGTCAAGTACTAAATCCAAAGTGAATGGACAGCTCTGACCAATGAAGCAGGTTCAGAAAGCAGGACACCATCACAAGACAGCGACCAGGCAGCCATTGCTGGGAAAGGAGCTTTGGAAGGCATGAACACCTAGGAAGTCAATCCTATACTGTATAAGGCCCCTAAATCCACATGTGTCCAAATTGGAAGTAATACTCATTTCTGTAGATTAAAACCCTCTAACCATAAAACAAACAACAGTGTTTTGAGTAATTCAATAACATAGCCCTTTATGATTAGAAAATGATCATTGCAGAACCTTTTCTCAGGGTAAAAGTGTAATTGGTTATGGATCAATAAGCAATTTCTTTCAAAAGGAAAAAGTTATTGTTTGCTTTTCTCATTTTTTTAATATTTTGAATTAGGAAGGTTCTTATATCAGAATTGAGCAAATATATTTAGAAAGTTGAGATTACTCTAAACAGCAAGATTCTTTACTGTGCTAGTTAAGTTTATCTCACCTGATCATTGATTTATGATGCAATAAAAATCCAGATGCTTTCAGTTTTGATTGTTAGATATTTTCTGAAAGGCAGTTGAAATTACTTTCCCAGGGTTCCCATTATGACAACGTATTTTGAACTGAAAATTGATGATGGTTCAATAATGGTAGTGCTGAGGCTTTCGCCCCCCCACTCCTATCCCCACCCCCCAACTCAAGATTAGCATTGAATTCAGACTTTGTGGTCAGTGGAAACTCCTACTCAGTTGATTGGAAATTCTAGAAGTCTGATGAAAAACTGGGATTAAAGAAATAAATGAGATCTAAAATCTTGTAAATATCGGTGCTAATGCAATGTGCTTGGTGGTTTTCCTAATCATGTTAGGATTATTTCATAAAGTCTAGTTTCTATGAAATAAGAATATCCTGAGCTAACCATGTGTACATAGGTGCTAGTAAAGGGATGATTTATAGGGAAAACCCAAAAGAAGATAAATTTAAATGATTGGGTAAGACAGGAGACAAAACTACACCCCAAAAGTGAAAGGGAGATCAAGAGGCTTAGATGCTTCTAGAGCATGCCAGAAGATGAAGATGCTAGGTCAAGAACTCTAGGTCTACAAACCTTTTAGATTTATTAAATTTGTGACACATTTCCATATTTGTTATTTTTATATGGGAGTCCAGTACTTGCATTACTTTAAAAACAAAATTAGGAGTTTAGGAGTTGCAAATATACTCGGTATTTCTTTGCATACAGATAGGGGGAAGCTGTAATCAGTTATGGCAATTTTAAATCAAAAAAAGCTTTTTATTCATGAACTATTGTTAACCCTCTACTATGTGCTGGCTAAATTAATTTGGGAAGCTTAGAGCTAGAGAAAAAAAAAAAGAATCAGGAAATAAATGGGCAGATACTAAAGATTTTTGCTAATACTTTATGTATCCCAATGAGTACAAGATAACATAGAAACAATCTTGTGTCATTTTCCAACATACCACCAATAGGAATAGTATCCACTGGGCAATAACATATTGTATTAATTTGAAGTCTGTTTAAAGACACTACAACCTCATACACACACACACACACATACACACACACTTTTTGGACACACAATTCAGAGGCTTTCACATTTTAAAACCTGTTTATATTATAGAGAACCTGGTTAACAACAGTAATAGGTATAATGTTCTCTCATCTCGAGACTATTTTCATGCTTTCTAAATCAAAACACTGGTTCCTGAGGAAAGGAAGTTTCCAAGAGACCGGATTTTAACTTTTTGCAAATAGCTAATATCAAAAGTAAACACTGAATCTTATGTTTAAAGTACTTACTATATGCAGCTCTAGGTAGTCACCCAGGCCTGAAGAACTGTCCACTCGCACTAATATTGCTTCTTTTTGAACAGTGCTAAATCCTATGGCCAGTCTGTCTGCTCGTGTACTTGGTCGGTCATTAGGAGGCCACTTATATGTGATTTGTCCACCACCTTTGCTAAAGATATATGTTGTCCCAGCTGGAAAACAAAAACAAATACCAATTAGTCTAACTAAATACATCAAGTTCACACAAAACTATGGCAAAACAAATAATAGGTATCAATCAAACAAGCTCAAGTAAGAGGACGTTGTTTAAAAGAAATAGAGTCTAAAAGAAATAGAGAGGCTGCTTGGTTTTTAATACACTCATTAAATCTACCAGCAGGTGTTTCAGAACAAATGGGAGATTACTGTTTTTTTCCAATGAGTTGGACAAGCTTGGAATGTAATGGGGTTTTATTTCCTCCTGCCACTTTTTAAGAAATACTTTGGTAGGATACATTGGCTTTGCAAGCTTCCCAAAGTAGTAGAAACATATATATCAACTTGTTTTTGAAACAAGAGTTGCATGCAGATGTGACAGGGTCATACAGCACAGTGGAGCAAATCACAACAAATATGTTATGAATCAACTTTTATGGGGAAAGGGTCTATTCACATATGACAGATGATAACTAATGGATGAACATCCATAAGCCTCAGTAGTCATAGCTACAAAATGTGGAAAATAGTTTCCATCCATAGAAGTCGGGTCTTATTTAACAAGCAACATCTAGTAGCTGTCAAATTATTTAACATCATAAGAAGCCCTATTTTTTCCCCTAAATCTAGACTTAAAGCACTAAAAATAATGCCATGACCTCATTTATTGAATGCTCAAATTTTACTACGGTTGTGATATCAGTAAAGTACCCATTTTAATTTAAATAATTTCATTCCAAAGTAATTTACTAAAAGCCGCATTCACTGGAGTCCTGTCTCATTGTACCAATGATAACTATCTCCCTGGCTACAGTGCAATACATTCTTTGAGTCAGAGTATTTGTCAGGGGCAAAAAAAAAATGTATATATAAAAGAAAAGAGACCATCCTCCACACTAAACGAGGCCAGAAAATTATTTCATTTTCCAAGAATAACTAAAGACTACATAGAGGAGAATATGGCCATCAATAACAAAGGATGTCAAAAGCATTGTGCACATACTATATGGCAAATACGGTAAGAGTAGTTATAGGAAAGATTGCAGTTTAGGCCACAGATACCTCGGATTTATAGAAAGAGAGCTTCTGTCAAGAGTAAAAGCTAGTGTGCAAAAGTTGTGTATGCAGCAATATGGCCTCAAGATACTGTCCCCATTAAATCTGTATGGTTACCAAGTTTACCAGTTACAAGAACTTGATTCATAATCACATATGTGCACTTTTAATTAAGCAGCTGATAATGTCAATTTTGTGGCCTTTTGTATTTGGGACTAACCTCTTTATTTTCTTTTCACTCTCAGACATTTCCAGAGGTCCTGGAGAAATATCAAAGATCTCTATAATGTGGCTATTGTGTCTGGCGTTTAAGAAGGCTATGCTATGTCAGCCTACCCAAGAAATGTGTCAGGGAGGGCAGTATTAAAAGTAAAAATGATAAAGAATAACCTTGTTAAAACCATGACATCAAGATTGAGCTCTTCTGTATTAACACATTGAGATACCAGTGCAGGGAAATAATCATTTCTCTCACGTGAGAAGAAGAAGCTTATATTTCACAGATACTGGTCAGTACTCAAACACACATTATCCTCCAGACAATCTAGACTTATACAAGCAGTTTGAAAAAGTTCATGGAATATGCCTGAGTATTAAAAAAAAAAAAAAAGAGCTACAATGAATAGAGAAAAATACTGTTAACTGATGGTACATGGAGGGGATTATAATCATTGTAATGAAACAAAGTATATGAGTTGTTGAATGTAAAGCTGATGATCTTCCCTGTAAACTTTCACTCAATTTACAATAAAAACTTTCAAATTAACAACAACAAAAAAACAAATGGTTCATTTTCTATGATACATATGTTGTTAGAATAAATGTTATCATTTTACAAAAAAAAAAAAAGTTCATGGGAAAATTTCACTATCTTTCACTTCAATTAAAAGTCTACTAACTTTTTTAATTTACCTCATATAGTAAAAGGGACAGAGCTATCCAAAATCATTTAAGATCTACAAAACCAGAAGTCTGTTCACTAACAATAAGAACAACAAAAATGCTATTTAATAAATATTTTTTTTTGGTAAGGTTTTCAGATGACTATGTATTTCATATAAAAGAGAAGTTTATGCCCACAAAAATAAGACAAAGCCATATAATAGAGAAGGTTTCTTAAGAGGAGAGATGTAATGAGTGATGGAACTTTATAATTAAATTTATTTTCCTCCCTTTCACTAACTGCATTCCCTAACTATTCATGTGAAATAAGAAAAAAATAGAGATGCTATAACAATGTAAAACATATTTAAAAATTCAAACGAGTACACTTTTCCAGAATCAAGAGAGTAGTGTGGCAAAATAAAAATAGCTTACAATATGACATAATTTTTAACATCAAAACTGACTCTCCCAATTATTCTTTCATGTCTTCTCTACTTCTGTATGGAAGGTAGAGCAAGCAGTACTCCTTTCTTGTCATTTTTTGAGGAAACCAGGTCCTTAGAATTGACTTGTTGTTAACTACATACTTAGCTAAGTGGCTGAGCTGATACTAAAGCTTTATGCAGAGTCCTATTTAAAAATTTTTTTTAATTAAGAGATGTTTCTGTTATCATACCAGATAGTCAAAAAAAAAGTTAATTGGATATGTCACTATGAATTTATCCATACCAACTAGCAACATATCCTAATGTCTCATATCCATAAAGTGACATTTGTACCTCATGATCATATATTCTCCTTTCACCTCACATGATTTAAAAAAAAAATTAAAATAACATGTAAATGTGAGATGACGGAACATTTAATATATGTAGATTGACATTTGGTTTTGGTTATATTTCCCATGCTTATAGAACTGTAAAGTTTCTAGTTGCTCAGTTTCAGAAACTGAGGATAATAATTCAAAGGCTAAAATCTTCAAGATAGGTGTCACAACACAAACATCATTATTCAAGATTTAAGTTCATCTCATATTCCAATCTTTTCCAAAAACTGTAAAGAGTTGGCGATTACTATATGCCATTGTCTAATCTGTCCTGCTTATTTAAAAACTTTCCAGTTAAATTACTGTTGTTGTTAAGTGCATGTCGGTTCTGATCCCTAGTGACCTTGTGTAGGGTTTCCAAGGAGTGGCTGGTGAGCTTGAACTGCTGACTGTGTGGTCCAAACTCACTTTACAGTGCAGCACATTAGTCCATGGTGCCACAACAGGACAACAAAGCAAAAATCATTGCACTACTGTGTTTCAAGCATTGCCCTTTTTTCTTGTTTTATTTTCTAGTTTCATTTCCAGATGTATCTGGAAAGAAATCTCTTCCCTTTACTTCTCTTTACACAATGTGTTATATGTACTCATCAGCATAATTTCATACTAAGCAAAACGTTAGACAGTCAACGCTCATGCAGCTTTTTCTCGCTACCTGCATATGCATCGTGGCCTTCTTTTATAAAACTCAGTTTGGTCAAAAGCTACAAAATCTCCTATGTTCTTAAAACCCTCTTTCCATCAAGATAGAAAATTACAAATGGAGACATTTGGAAAAATGTGTAGTCTTAAGAACATGAAGCTATGCCCATAATCAAATACAGGTGAGTGCAGTTTAAAAATCCATTTCCTTAAATTTTTTGTAAACCAAAGACATGATGTACTTACTATGGTCGAATGGCTTGCAAGTTAAAAATGCAAGTTCTGGATTCAAATTCCTCTGTATTGTTGCCTAGTTATGACCTTGGCCAAGTTATTTCATTTTTGCTAAGTCTTAATTTTTCTATCTGAAAAAATGGATGTCAATGCTATCTACTTCATAGAGCTTCTGTTAGGATTAAATAAAAATCATTACATAGTAGCAACATAAACCAGTTCCTGACACATGGCCAAGTTCTCAATAAATTTGAAAGCGAATAGATCCTATGTGTACATGCATAAGTGTATTATATAAAATTGACTAAGTAGCAATGTATGAAGTTTTAAGAAAATTTGGTATATTTTACAATTGCATTCAAATTAAATACGTCTTTCAAAAAATGAATTTGCTACATTTCATTCTGATGACTCATTTCAGTATTTTATTCCTTGGATTATCACTGTTTTTCACCTAAATCAATTATATTATAATCTTATGGTTATTGATAGCTGACAATGGAAGAGATACTGAACTGCATGAAATGAAAGCTTTTATTAGAATAATATGGGTTTATCACCATAAGATATCTAACATGGCACAACCGATCGTGACAGCAAGGTGAAACAATTTCCTTTTCACACAGAAAAAAGAGGAAAGTCTACACAAAATGAACTGCAACTTTAAAACCTTCCGTTTTAAAATTTTATATATGTCAAAACCGGTTTTACTATATAAGTAAATCCAATGGTCAGCAGCAGTGCATCTTAATCACAGCTCCAAGCTTTTTATCAATATGAAGAGGAACATGGAGGAATGTGTCACCTTTATTATTTATGCATGTTTCGATAGGGCAAGCATTAAGACATCAGTGCCATGACTACTAATGGATTTATTACAAATTAACCTTGACACCCATCACATCTCTGAATGTATGGATGACTCAATCTTAAAGTGGTTTTCAGTAATCTTCACATTTAAGTTGTGCAGCCAGACTGCACTTTTTCATTCATTAACATTGCATTTAAGTTCACTCCATCAGATGCAAACTTAATAGTGTCAATATAATTTACACTGAGACAATGCAAAAAAATTAAACATAGAATTTCATTTTTAATGCTTGAATTGCATGTGATATATGACAAAATGCTATTTTTTTATTTGGGTTTTTACTTGTACATATTTACATAAAGAACTCTCTCCCCTCCTGCTCCTTCATGCCAAATATCTTCTCTTTACCTGTGCCCACTCAATCTCACTTCATTTCTGCAAAGATTAACATATTCCCTGAAATCACTGAACGTTTTTGAAACCGAAAACCATTCAGCATGTATAAGTCTGCTTGGTTACTCTGAATCCTTGCTACATGAAAG